AAAAGAGCTTATAAATTGGTAGAGTTTCATAAATTAACATTAACATACAATTAGCAGCTCATTAAAAAAATGATAGACTATTTTCATTACGTGAGTCTCAAAATAAATATTTACATAAATAATATAAAAGTGGGAATAAAACTAAATTGGGAGCACAACTTGAAAGTCCATATAATAATTTCCTTTCTAAAATGTTAGAATAATTATAAAATAATATAATGCTTTTGACTCTATCCTTACAATTTTTATTGGTTCTAGCATGTTGGGCTAGCCCATCTGTCCTCCCCTACAAAAAGGGTTAGACAATCTTTGAGTTTTATGGCCTGTCAAATTGACAGGCTTTTAATCACGTCCCTTTAAATGGCGGGCTTGACAGATTGTTAGTACATTAGCTATTAATTAGTACATTTTTATAAATGACTTGTTATTGATATATAGATTAATACATTGTATATTTGAGTATTTATTAGAACTTATTATTATTGTTTTTAACAAATTACAAATACATTAATATATAATATCTAAAATATTTTAGTATGCGTTTATTAAATTTTTTATTTTTATTTTTAGTTAACTTGGCTTCAAAATTTTTGAAATTTAGTTAGCCCACCATGACTTGCAGGCCTAAGGTGGGGTGAGGCGGTCGTTCTTAAGCTTGTCAAATTGGCAGACTATTTAATACATGCTTTGGTCGCCCATTTTGACAGTTCTAATTTTTATTACGTGTTAACACTTTTTTATTACGGATATTTGATTTTTTTTTTTTTTTAAATTTACATAATTCGTCTCTATTATTTATCTTTGATTTAAGATAGCAACCAAAAATTTGTCACCGAAAGTCATCATCTTCCAATTTTATAATTACATTGCAAACTTATAACTTTAAGATAGAATATCATAAATTCAATAGAAAAACATTGGCATTGTTGTCGCTTGTCAATGATCAGCATCCGGTGGGGCAACTATTTTTTCGATGTTGGAATATTAATGTGGTTCATAATTTTTTTTTAAATAATAATGTTTGATTTTCTCTAAATAAAAATATCAGATTTTAGTGGGATAATTAAATACGATAATAAATGTTGAAAGAATTCTTTTTATAAGTTTAATAATTATTCCTTTTTAAATCAGTTGGAATCAAAATGACTATTAAGTACTGAAAAGTCTATAATGAATTTATAATTAGAAAGAAATATTTAAGAAGCTGATAATTATGGAGAAATTGCAATGACCATGAACGACGTAACTACATTAGAAACGAAATAATGTTGTTATAACAATTTCAAGTTTGTGGTTTCCACCAAAAAAAAAAAAAAAAAAAAAAAAAAAACAATTCCAAGTTTGTGAATTAAGTAATAAATTTTGCGAATGCTTCATTTTAAAGGGAGTTTAACAACGCTCAAATCTAATTATTCAGAGTCCAATGGATTAATGGAGCTAAACAACAAGAAAATTCGAATATGTCAAAGTCCAATGTATCTATTTTCTCCCAAATACAGCCTACTGAATCAATGAGTTAAGTCTGAACGAACAAGTCCAATGTACCTATTATTTTCTAATTTTACCTTCTAATATTTACATCTTTATGTGGTAATACAAAAATTAACAATTTGTTTCAAAAGAGACTTTAACATGAATTGGAATGTGACTCAAGCTAAGTAGTGAAGTGGTTGATGAATGGATAAGGCTCTAAGGCCCTGTTGAACATATATTATTGAGGAATGTAAGCACATTATGTCTAGGCAATGGGTCATTCGAGTGACGCATATTTATAGAGAGCAAAATAAAGTAGTTAATTTTATGACGGGTGCTTCCCTATTTTTTGCTCAAGTTTATGGGTCTTGGAGACAGTAGTGGAGTTAGCCATTAAGTTTAGTGGTGTCAATACTATATATATTAACATAATATTTATTTATTTTACTTATAATTCTCTTATGAAATTCAAGATTTGATAAAATACTTTGTAAAATGTTATAATTTGAAAATAAAAAGTGATGCATATTATATATATCTCGTGAGAATTTAGTAATTTAGAAATAAAAAATTCATAGCCACATTCCACATTCTCAATCCTCTTCTAGATGAATTGACAACACACTATACGTCTATACTCAATGCGTTTGACATTCACGCCTTCCTAAAATAAATTTATGATTAATTTTTCCAAATTTTTATTTGAGCTGAGCTTTGTGGGTTTTTTGTTTTTATTTAATACTAACCAGTAAATGAAAATAAGAAAAAAGTATTTTAAATTAGTATGTAGTTCCTTAAAAATAAGTAATTTTAGGCAATTAGATTGCTATAGATTTGCATAGATTAACAAAAACAATAAGATTACTTGGTGAGAAAAATTTAAGTGATGAATTTAATCTAATTTGTTATTCTCATTAATTGCAAACGTGCAAGAGGGAGAAACACCTTACAAAAAGAAGGCAACAAAGATGGAGATGAAGATGCCGCGACGGAAGTGGCTGGGATGACGTAGAGTGGTGGTAAATTGTGTATATAAATTTGCAATTTATTTTATTTTTTCCTAAGAAAATTGAGTTGGTGTGAAGAATTCTGAATTAGGGACATAGTGTGTATGGACATGTTACTTCAACTCTTGTAATTTTTGGGGATCATCTAGTGAATTAGGTGTACGTTGAGTAGTTCCGTAGATGTAGGAGGATTTTCCGAACCGCGTTACCAATTCTTGTGTTCCTAGTTTTTATTTCTTTACTTTGTTTTCTATATTGGTATCTGATCTTTTATCGTGTGTGATTCATGCTTAAATTAAAGATAATTAATTGAACTAAAATTTAGTAGGAACCTTTAGGTAATCGATTGCATTCAAGAGTCGCGATTCTTTTTCAAATGGCTCAGCAGACATGACCAAATGCCGCTGCGCATAAGGGATCTACCCACTATGAAGTTTTTAATTTGTTGTATTGCTAGGATTGCGCTATAAACTAAGGATCTGTTCATAAACCTAGAAAATGACTTCAAGAAGTTATTATATGAATTTTCTTGTATTTGGATATTCAAAAAAAATAACGTCAAAAGAAAAATATTCATCTTGGTGAACGAAAAATGCCTAATTGGCGAAATTTTTTTTAAAGATTTTTAGTTAAAAGATATTTCCGAATTCTTTATTTTCTCTCATATCCTTCAAGATAGTTTTTGTATTATTATTATTACTACTATCAATTATTATTATTACAGAGTATTATTATTTAACAAACTGTATACTCATTTTCAGGAAAATAAACCAAACAAATATAAGTTCTTAACTTCCTGGCAAATTAATAAAATAAGATAATTTTCAGACCTTTAATCAGAGAAATTAAAATATTTTACAAAAAATAGTCATTTTTACACCCTAAAGCTCTCTTCAATTCCAAAATGGAATGATGGACACCCTTTGATTTTCAAGCCTATCTACCATTAAATCATCAGATAGATCGCCAGTCCTGCAAAGCCTTTTTCACCACTTAAATGCACAAATTGGATGACAAAATTAAAGTCACATATTATTATGGCTTACTGTTTGAGTCAGGCAATTCAAGTCCATACTTGATCTCTTTATTCGCACAGATCAGAAAAAGAAAATTTTTTTCAGGCACAACATTCTATCTCGGATTTCGATCTGTGCACGCATGATTGACACCCAAACTAACTTTTCTGTTATTTTCAGTAGCACTACTAAAACAAAAGCCTAACATTAACAGTATAATGTGTTTCCTTTTCATTCCTTAATGGCATCAAAATCTGTCTGTCTATCACTGAGTCTAACCATATATCTTCCCAGTAGCAGCCACTGGCAGTGGCTAAGGTACTTGAAGCCAGCCTGCAAAACTAACATTTTTGATGCACCAAACAGTTGCTAATTTTGTAGTTGCAGAAAATGTGCAGGAGTTTGAATTATTCTCCCCAATCATGTCAGTAAAAAGTCGCATATACATACATACATTTCATGATGAACAGATCAGATATCTGCAAGAATTTTTCTTTCTTAGCTTAGCTTTCCACATTTTCCTTTTCCCACTTTACCTTTTATCCTGTCTGTACTTTGCTCATACATTTAGCCCCATAAACGCGTCAACAAACAGTTGGGAAAGCAAATTTATCACTGTGGTTAATTGAGGTTTTGAAAAGGAAACTCTTTGTGCTTAATTTGTCAACATTAAAAGAATCTTCATCCAAGACTTTAATTTGTTTACTTATTATAAATAATATGTATTCACTGACTAGCTAGAAATGGTTGCGGAATTATCCGTTTTAATGTTTCAAGAGTGTTTGAATTGGGCCGCGGCTTGGAGAGTTAGTCCGCCAGAATCCTACCATTGAAACTTGGAGTTGATTGCTATGCAAGTATAAAGAAAAAAATTGTGCTTTGGCTACTAGGTATAACTTTTGGTGTAGTGGTAAGCGTTTAATATATCCTCTTGTGATCTACTTGCATATATACTTGCAATTTTGTATGCAGTATATGTGATGGATGCGCAATGAACATTTCACTGCTGAAAATTATGGAATTTCCGACCACCTGAAAGTGATCTTAAATCAAGTAGTTTATTTCAGATCGGAATTTGCATGGCTAAATTAAGAAGATAAATTTATTATAAGGTGGTGTAGGGTAGGGCTACTTTGATGAGATTAAAGTTGTTTAATTTGGCACTGAAACTATGATTTTGTGCATAATATGTATATATAAATAATATGATATGATATATATAATTGGAGTTAGAGAAGATAACAACTAGAACAGATATGAAATACAGCAATAATGGAGTTGAAAAGGTTCCTCTTTGCTTTGCCCCCACGCACTACTCCACCTCCCTTTTATCAAAAATAACTAAAGCCACCATTTTTATAAAGAGAACATGCACCTTTGAGGGGGGGGGGGGGGGGGGGGGGGGGGGGGGGGGGGGGGCGTTCAACAGAATATGCATGGATCTTCATTCTCCTTCCTTGAGTGAGTGAGCACTTGGATGGATATAAGTATTTTTCTAAGACAAACTTTTCTTTTGGCTTTCTTCAAGCACTCAAATGCCACCTTTTCTGCCCTGCAAAGGTTGCAAGCAAATACTAAAATCCCCTCTCTTTTTCCATACCTCCCCCAACATCCCACTCCACTTTTTTGTCAGCTTAGCTTTTCTTTTTTTCCCTTCTTTCCTATTATTATTTTTTTTTAACAGATTCATCATATCCATCCGTTGATTGATGAAGGGTGGCAGATTGACTGTACTCCAACTCCCAAGAAATCCCTAGTTTGCCCACCTCCCCCTTCATTCTGTGTTATGTGTCGACGCTTGGAAGGGTACATCTGATCAACATGGCTCAAAGTGGAGAGACCATCCACTGGGCTCTCCATTTCACTCCCGAGATGACTAGAAACCATTGAGATTGAGGTTTCTGCATATAATAATCCTGAAAACTTGTTCTCATTCCCATTGTTATTGTTGTTGCACTTCAATCCTAGGCTTCCTAGGAATCCAGGGTCACTTGTGGTGGCTCCAACCTGAGCCGCCTTCTGCAACAACGCGGTTGCCGACATGTTTGCAGAAGGCATTTGATGATGATGAGGATGGTGTTGGGTGCTAAACAAGGATTGAACACTCACTACCTGTGCCTGATTTCCATCCATCTTATCCTCACCATTATTGTTATTAGTACTGTTTGAGTTTGAGGTAGTACTAATCTTGTTCCCAACAAGATTATTCCAGTTCAACTGAAAACTGCTGGACGAGGAAAGAGGATTTGAACATGAAGTAGTAGTAGTGACCATAGGATGATTCTCAGAACCAAAAGATTGGAACTCTTGATGACCTTGCAACTGGGATGTTATTGTCTGGCCCGGAGCCATCCACACCGGGAGCTGCCCTTGTCTTACTGGATTCATGTTTTCATCGTTGCCTGCGCCTATTGTTGACTTGAAAATGGACCCAAAATGTGGCGCCGCCATGCCGGCGCCGGGCCCTATCGGCGGCGGCGCTCCTATAAAGTGATAGTTGATGTTACTGCCTAGAGCCGCCACCGCCGCCGCGTTTTGCATATTGGACGCTGCCGTAACTCTTGCCGTCTCTTCTGCTAATGCATCGCAAAACGCCCTGTGTGTTATGAAGCTATCTTTCCTGCCAAACCCACAAATTTTAAAAACAAAAAATGAAAAACCCAGAAAGATCTAAAAGAAATCATTATATATATATTAAGTTAGTAGATAAGGTTAGGGTCTAAAATTTAAGTTTGTCTTGTTTATGAACAACCTCATTGGCAAGTTGTGAAGCAGACAAACACATCACAATCAAGCATCTTAATTTCACAAAACCTTAATCATATCCTCTTAGCTTGTTTATGTAATAATATATAAAATTAATTAGGTACCTTGAGAAAACAGTTCCGCAGTCGCATCTATATTCCCTAGTCCCACAAGTCTTGGAATGGGCTTTCCAATCGGATTGCACGGCGTAGCGCTTAGAGCACTTCTCGCATTTCCACTTCTTCTCGCCGTGTTTCCGGCAATAGTGCTTCTTGATTCCGGTGAGGTCGCCGAGAGCCCTGGAAGGGTGGTGGTGGACGCAGCTCTTTTCCGGGCACACGTACACGCGCTTCCGCACTTCTTTGCTGCTCCTTTGCTTCAGCTTCCATGGCAGATTATGCCCTCTTCTGTGCAGCTGAAGATTCTGATCCCTCTGGAACCCTTTCCCACAAATCTCACACAGGAACCGGTTGGTGGCCATCAGCGTCTTTGGCGATAAAGCTATCACTTCAGCTTCTGGATCTGCACGTACAGTACACACAAAACTTTTCAGATCATATGTAAAACAAAGAGAGAAATGAAAGTAAATAAGGATCTTTGATTTGTTCTTGCCTGGGGTTCCTGGAAGGTTTCTCTTTTTCTTAGGAGGAGGGCAAGGGGGATTGGATATGGATCCTGCAGGGGTTGGGGTTTGAGTGAGAGCATTTGATGAGAGTAAAGCTTCTTTCTCTGTCATCTTGGGATTTTCTTGGTTTTTTTTCAGCTGCAAGAAAGTTCATTTGAGGGTGAGCTAGCTTGATTATAACTTCATATATAAGCACACAAGGATGGGGAATTTTGAGGAAAAACAAAAACACTAAGTTAGAAGATACCTTTTGCTATGATGTCAACCTCAACTACAACAACAAATTAAAGATCTTGAAATTTGAAGGATTTCAAATTTGGATCTCTCTTTTATCTCTCTCTCTTACATGGATGGAGAATTCTTATTACTATCTAGCTAGCTTAGTATATGGGGATAATAGTAAGAGAAACCATAAAAATAAACCACCTCAATTAAAGAGAATGACCATCCACTTTGTTGTCCTTCTTTAATTTAATAGATCTACCTAATTAATTTTATAATTTTTTAGTCTTCTTTTAATTATAACCGTGGTGTAATTTTGCCTCTCAATCACGATGGAGATTTAGTCCTTAAATTTTAACAAAGTAGCCGATTTGGTTATTGATTTTAGATTTTGTTAACAACTTGAAGAACTAAGTCTATTATATATTTTTGCCCCCTAATAACTTGGAACAATTGGTAAATAGACTTGCTAATGTAATTGTAAGGTAAACAATCCGGACTTTGCAAGGATGTACCATGATAACGAGTTTTTGGTCAAACTTTCCCTTGAGTAAGAATCAAATTCTGTGAACGTGACCCAAGTTGAATATTAGGCAAATATACTATAGAGTATGGTCCATGTTGCAACGTAGACCATTGATAAAAAAATTTATTTTTAATATACTCAAAGTTCATTTTTGGTAGTATATCAAAATAATGAACATTCAGTACACTAAAAATGAAGATTCGGTATACTAAAAATACTGGACATTATGCAATAATTGATCCATCTTGTAAGATAAACCATGATCCATGTTATAATGATTGGAATACTAGATGTATAAAATAAAATTAAAAAAAAAACTAGCTAAATATATACCATGGTCACAATTATTAGGGACTAAAAGTGTCATTTTCTTTTTATTTATTAACTATTTAAAAGTTCTAACAAATTTTAATTTAAAAGCTTGAATGATAAATTTTTGTATTGCAGATACTCTTAAGTAAGAGTTAAATTCTATATATTGATGCGAGATATAAAACTTATTGCAAATAACATATTTCGTATTATATATTTGGTGGGGGAATACCAAGATGTCTATAGTGTTTCATATAAACACAAGGAGGCAGACAAATTATACGATTGGATCGAAATTTTCATCAATTAATTAATTTACATATATATTCTTGTGTGAAGTAACAAATATTCTCAAATGCTGCAGCGTTTTAACTGCTTGCTGTCGGAATAGAATATTAGTTGTATATACATGGGAGGCGGTGAAAAGTGAAAGTGAAAATGAAGAAATGCGAGCCTAGTTGATGAGGGTAGGGTGGGGGGGGGGGGGGGGGCGGTGAAAGGTGCATGATGACACATATAATGAGGCTTGGAGAAGGTTAGACTACTCCATTACCTTTCCATTGGAATGATTATCCCATAATTGTTTTGCTTTTTTGTTTTTTAAAATATTATTCTCTCGATCTCTCCTACATATGCTTCCAATGAACACACTAAAATATGTTTTTGTTTTGTGTAAATTATTGGCATCAAAGCATGCATATTGGAGTATATGTAGGACATGGGTATCTCCATCTTGTAGATTTGTTTCATGTTTTATGTTCTAAGTTACATTATATGGGATTTTTTTTAAAATGTTGGTTGGAACTTTTGATATTGACCATGATAACATAAGTAGCTTATTAGTCAATTTTGGTTTATTTGACCAGCTTTTTGTAGTGTTTAGCTTATTAGTCAATTTTGGAGTATTTTTATTAACGAACTTTTTGTAATAACTTATTGCTTCAAAATGCTAAAGTTCAAAAGGCTGCTTAAAGTAGATTTTTTATCAGCTTTTTGAGAAAGTCATTTTTTATGTAATCGGTTATCAGCTAACAGCTAATTTATCAAATACTTTTCCACAATCAGCTAATACTATCAACTAGTCAAACTCACTACCCAATCAGCTAACAGCTATTTACCAAACATCCCATTATATTTAAACGATTCGAATGAATTTAACTTAGGCCCTGTTTGGTAAAAAATTGGCCTATATGCTAATTTTGGCTTATTTGACCACTATTAATTGTTTGATTTAGTTAAAATATCAATATAAATGTTTGGTTAATTAGCTTTTTGCAACTTCAAAAGGCTAAAATTCAAAAAGCTACTCCAAACAACTTTTTCAATTAGCTTTTTGAAAAAAAGAAATTATATCAAACAGCTATCAGCTAACAACTAATTTACCAAACACTTTTCTACAATCAGCTAATGTTATCAACTATTTATACCCTCTAATTAACACAATCAACTAACAACTAACAGCTATCAGCTAACATCCATTTTACCAAACAGGGCCTTAAATAACTATTTTTTGGTTTGTGTCAAATTGGTTTCCTAAATAAATTTACATTCCCTAACTATTAAAAAAAAAAAATCAAAATCAAAATCAAAGAAACCTTTTTAAACCAGCAAAATATATTGTAATTATGTTCTATGGTTACTTATTCAATTGGTTACCACTAATGTGACATTGATTGAGCTAACATGTGACGTCCCGTGTTAGTATAGTCACTGATAACCTGTTGAATAGATAATGACCCTGTTTGGCAAAATAATTATCTCATCGGCTAATTAAGTTTATTTGACCACTATTAACCGTTTGACTTGGTTAAAAAAAAAAATTAATATGTGCTTGATTAATTAGTTTTTTGTAACCAACTTATTATTTCAAAATGCTAAAATTTAAAAAACTGCTCAAAGTAGTTTTTTTCAATCAGATTTTTGATAAAGTAATTTTGTATGTATTCAGCTAACAGTCAACAACTAATTTAATTAACAAGCACTGTTCTACAATTAACTAATGTTATCAATTAATCAAACTCACTAACTCAATCAGCTAACAACCATTTACCAAACATCCCCAATAATATATAGGATTTGCTTGCAGTATTTTATCAATATACTTTAGGAATCTTATTAGAGCTTTTTTCGATTAAAGAACCTATTTGCACTATTCGTTGGATATAATAAGGAGTTGTTTGATACTTTTTCCTTTAGTTTATTTTATTTTATTTTATTTTATTTATTGTATTGTGCTTTTGTTATGATTTATAATTTATATAGTAATTACTAAATTTTACTAATTCGAGTCTTACTTTTGTGGAGAAAACTAATTAACATTGACATTCTGGGTAAATGAAAAGCTTTTTTCTTTCCCCTTTCAACTTTTCTTTTGGACACCTGGAAAGATTTCCCTTTTAAGATTCTTATTAACACTCAACAAATTAAAAATGGAGTAATATTAATTAATTACTCCGTATATCAAATCTTGCATTATTTAATTCAAATTTATCTGTTTAATTCATAGTAAATCTGACTAATTTTGCATACTCATATTTTCTTAATTAATTCTTGACCAAATTAAAAACAATTCTCTATATCGAAGATCTAGTTCGACAATCCTAATATTTGATTGTTTATGAATGTCCAAAGGCTAGATTCCAATGTCCCTCTGGTCTAAGTAAATAAAAGGGGTTTGAAACCTGAGATCGAAAAAAAAAAAGTTAGCAATTTAAGGAAAAAGGTTGAATTGGCACTTGCTTTTCCTGTCTCCATGAATCTGTATGACTGTATCTATCGTACTGCATGTTACTTAGCTTCTTGTTCTTGAAGATGATTTGCAAAAACCATGCACGTGCCCAACTGTCAAACCATGCTACCTAAACTCCAACGAAAACGACGAACACACACTCATAAAAGGGAATACTCGTCCTTCATTCTCATACATATATACATTATTGACCGTTTACCAATTTGAAAAATATAATGTGTTTTATCTTAGTTAAAAGCGAGCTGAGTGAAGAGTTAATATGGTTAAGTGAAAATTTAATTTGTAGAGATGAGTGTGGTAAAAGAAAGGTTAGAGGACAGGGAACTGACAAAGGCAGTGAATTTTTAGGAATAAGTGTGGTCGTCCCCTTGCGGGCTGACTTTACCTGCTAACCCTTAATAATCATAATCTAATGATGTTTTACCTTTCTAACTTTGTTTATAATATAATGTTTGGAGTTTAGCTGTTGAACTTTCTTGCTCCCAGAATATTCTGTCCCTTCCCCAACACGCCCACTGCACTCTCTCTTCCACTTTCGAGGTCCCAGCTCTTCCATCTCTGCCCGCTCATATATGCACCAATTCTTATATTCTTCTTCATATATCAATTCTCACTCTAATACTTCTTTATATATATATAAGTCACCACTCACCATTAATATATATATATATATATATATATATATATATATATATATATATATATATATATATATATATATATATATATTTTAATTCAAGTATCAAAGTAAGAAGATATAAATCAACCATCATAAAGATTCAAATATAATATTTTGTTTAATATTTCTATATTATATATATATATAGAGTTTAAAAGATTTTAGTGGTTAATTAGCTAGAAAGAATATTAAAGAATGACTTTGGACGAGTTATTTTATTTTTTTAAAAATTATATATAAAAATGTCATACTAAGAGGCACCTTCTAACATTGGATATTGGGTTGATACCCGTTCAACCCGCTCTTATGACTGACCTTATATATATAACTGATTTGGTAAAAACTTTATACGAACTTGCACCTTGTAACATTTCTAAGGGTATTTTTGGTATGTACAAAATTCACTTAAAATTTACAACTCTAAGAGTAATGCATCTTACAAAAACTAAAAATGTATTATATGATATGTAAAGTGCACGCAAGACAATATATTATGCTTGTAAATATCATAATATGCTCTTAGTAGTGTTGTGGAGTGCATCTAAACTTTGAAATTATTATAAAATTGCCACCGTATTTTTTCTTACTTCAGAATTATTGATCTTTTTAAATTGATAAATAAAATGTGTGTTTTTTTTTTTTTTTTTTTTTTTTTTTTTTTTTACAGAACTGATATGAGATTGTATCCCAAATCACTTAGCACGCAAATCTTGAGTTGGGGTATATACATTAAATTAGTACAATATGATGAAGTTGAAGATTTGATTAGCTATAGGTTTGAAATCACATGGATTTGGGGAAAAGTAAAATGTTGTCACCAAGGGTGTGTTTGTTTCATTGCTTGTCTTTTTACTACTTTGGAAATGAAGCTGTAGCAAGTAATTCCTTTTCCTCAATAGATTATGCAAGACAGAAACATAGAACTCTAGTCCTAAAATTCTACCTATATTATACTAGGTCACCAAAAGCAATTTTCCCTATTTTCAAAGAGTTGAACATGTTCCCCAGTTACTATATATTTTCTCCTTTGGAATGCTCATGTAACTGTCAAATTACACTTTCATCCCTTAACTTTTGTTGCTTTCACTTTCCATCCCCCACCACCTTCATCCAATTATTATTATTTATTTAATTAAATTAAATGTTTCAGAAATTTGAAAAAGAGAATGCAATTTGGATATATAGATTCTGGGACCAACAGATAGTTGATTATTTAATTTTATCTTCAGACCATACATGATACACACATATGCATCCCTCGTAAAGGAATAATGGACCAGGATCGATCTAAGAATCTACTCTATAGTACCAGAGCTTTTGCTCCTCAAAAAGTTATATATATTTTTTGGAATTTTAGTTGGTGGTTTAATGCAGTAAAATGATGAGAAATAGTATTTTAGTCATATCAAATTATTAAAAACAGAGAAAAAAAAATTATATCTTCCAAAATTATCTCCATTATTTCAATTTTTGGCACTGGAAATTTTCCTATAACTTATTTCTTCTCACAAAAGGTTGAATCCCTACCTCGAGGATCCCCACATCATGGCCCGACAGAATATTTAGGAGGATGTAAATCACGGTGACTCAACGATTCAGCAGACATAGCCAAAAATCAGTGCACACAAGGGATCTGTCCACTTTGAACATAATCCCACATTGCTGTTGCCGAGGTTTAGACATTGATCTCTTCCCCCAAATCCATAACTTATTTCTTCACTACTACTTTTGATTTAAAAAAAAATGGAATTCAATAAAAGATGCCTCTGATACATTTCTTGTTAATAACCTTTTTTTTTTTTTTTTTTTTTTTTTTTTTTTTTTTTTTTTTTTATAACTTTGTAAGTGGACTAGTAGATTATAGTTTGGAGGGTTTTTTTTTCTTTGTTTTTTTTTTCCTTCTTTTTTTTCACAACAAATACCTCATGCAAGTGACTCTTTACTACTCATTGAATCTTCCTCTTTAAGGATCTATTTATATAGAGGGGTATACATTAAGCATTATGAATTTGTGATTGTGTAATTTTAGTTAATTTAATTAGTATTGTATATCAAAAAAAAAGTGTGCAAGTAATATTATTAATAATAAAAATAGTATTTAAAATTATGTAATGTTTATATTACAAATTTTGTGCTTTTAGATAGAAATACATTTTAATCCTCTGAAATTGCAATCTACATGTCTTTAATATCCATTGTAGTTATATTTTGCTTATTTTTTCTTCATTTCTTAAAATGTTGAATCCCCAACTCCAAGGATCCCTCCACACACCGGCTCGATAGAATATTTGAAAGGATTTAAATCACGGTGACTCACTGGAACAATAGGCAGGACCAAATACCAGTGCGCACAAGGAATCTGTTCACTTTAGACATAATTTTTACATTGTAGTTGCCGAGATTCGAACCTTGATCTGGTGATACAATTGGTGTGTTGTTATTTTTTTTTTTCTTTGTACCGAGAAAAATAAGAGTTGCATTCTATGCTTCTTTAGTACAACAACGTAACCTCGTCCTAATTAATTGCTTATATCTCTAGGCATGTGGGAGTGGGGCTAAAAGAGGCTGCATCAAACAGCGTAAATGCATTGCTTTATATAAGATAAACTTCACCCACAAAAAAAAAAAAAAAAAAAAAAAAAAAAAGAAGATAAACTTGAAAAGAAGATTGCCGGTATCTCGTTCATCCAAGAAAATGTCCTCCTAGTCAAACCAAACCCTACATGTATATTCCAATTAGCAAAAGAATTACATGTCATCAAGCAAAATATATATCACTTTTCTGAACGTAATTAAAATTTAAACCTTCAAGCATGTGTATTGTGAACAAAATCAAGGGTCTTGCGGTTAAACACAAGAAATGAAAATGAAAGTCATATACATTATTTTGTTGTTAATTTTTTAAAGAGTTAATACCTAAAATTCTTCGACTATAGTGATTTTTATCAATTTCGTCCTAAACGACTTTGGTGACCTAATATAGTCCTAGACTTTTGTGTTTCGCTCAATTTAGTCCTCCTTTTGTTATTCCGTCAAATTGGTGTTAAATAAAGGGACAATTCAATAATATCAATATTGACCTCTCTTTACTTTCAACCTACGAAGTGAAAAATCTCTCTTTCTTACACGAATTACACCCAGAGTTACTCTCAGACCTACGAATCAAATTTTATATTCGTAGCTTTAGAAGTGATTCTGGGAGTAATTCGTAAAAAAAGATGGATTTCGCACTTCACATGTCTATGAATAAAGAGATGCCAATATTAAAATTAGGGAAAATGGCACTTTTTCCCCCTGTGTTATATACCTATAGCATTTTTTCCCCTAAATTATTGAAGTGGTTGTTTTTCCCCCTGAAATGTTAAATGGGCATATTTACCCTTAAATTAAATATTTAATTTATTTTTTTCTCCAACAAATTGTGACCATAATTTGGATCAAACCAAACAAACACTATAGCAACCAAACTGAAATATTTCAATTACAATTTAGAATCGAAATTCGATATTTAGAGTTTATTAAAATCGTGAACCGGAACGGACGGTTCATGTTCCGAACTGAAAAAATAAAATACATTTATTGTTGAATTTATACTATTTTAAAATAAAAAATAAGATTTTAAAATAAAGACGGTTCAAAATCGAGAATCGAATCCGGAACCGCCGGTTCACGGTTCAAGATTCAATTTTTTTTGATACATAATTTTAATAAATTGACATTTAAATATTGGGTTCTAGATTTGAATTATAACCGAAAACTATTAATTCTTTTGCTTTAGTATCCGGTTCAATTCAAACCGATCCGTGGTCATCTCTACGTATACGCAATAATTTGTTGGAGTAGTAAAATAAATAAAATGTTTACTTTAAGGGTATAAATGTCAATTTAATATATCATGGGGAAAAAGCACCACTTTTTAAAATAATTGAGGGGGCTAATGTGCTTACCTAAATAATTGAGGGGGAAAAAGTGCTATAAGTATATAACTCAGGGGCAAAATGTGTCATTTTCCCTTAAAATTACTGAATTGTCTATTTATTTAACAACAAATGGACGAAATAATAAATGAGGGACTAAATTGAGCAAAAACACAAAAGTCTCGGACGAAATTGAGTAAAAACACAAAACTCTGGGACTACATTAAGTCACCAAAGTCGTTTAGGACAAAATTAAGAAAAATCACTATAGTCGAAGATGATTGTGTATTAACTCATTTTTTAAAACTCATGCATGTATAGGTTTTGATTACCTCTATAATTACAAAATTTATTACCTAATTTAAATCATATATCATTCCATTAATTTAGCCTTATCCCTCCTCATTTTCTCGCATCCTTACTCATCTCTTCTCACTTCATTGACTTCCTCATTGCATTGCGTATGTACTCGATCATCACTTCATTGCCACTCTTAAGATCAATTGTTTTGATTTTTTGTTTTTGTATTTTAAAAACTTTTATTCCGATAACAATGTCATATATAACCAAACACCAATCCACCTTACTACCAAAGTACCAAACATGCATGCAAAATACTTTAACCAAAATTTATTCCAATTACCAAGTATTTAATTCATATTTTGATTCCGATTCTTATGTTCGAACCAAACACACCCTAATGATGTGTTTGGTTCATGGGTTTACACACTATGAATGAGAATCAAAATCATAGTTAGTATTTGATTGACAACTTTTTAAAACACAAAACTATGGGATTTGATTACCTCTTTAATTAAAAATCCCATTTCTTAATTAAAAAGAAGTATCATTCCATCTTATTAGTAATCTAATTTTTTTTATTTGGATTAATACTTTTAGTTTTTGTACTTTTAAAACTTTTATTTCCATTATAGAGTCATACACAACCAAATATCAATTTTGATAATCATTTCAATTCTATCATACTACCAAAAACACAAAATACTTTCGCCAAAACACATTACCATATCAAGTATTTAATTTGATTCTCATTCCAATGTGCAAATCAAACACACCCTAAATTTGAAATGGCTATTAAAGACAAAGAACCTCCATTGAAATTAACTCAATAGAATAATGAAACGTTACAGATCAACCATTTATTAGTTAATAAAATTGTTATGTTTTTGTCTGATTGTATGGTTTGCGTAAAAGAAATACATCTGAAGTCTAAATGCAGTTAGGTTTGCTATCATTCTCTTGGTGTTGAGTCGATATGACTATGTGATGATAGGAATACAACTGAAATGATAAATGTTGCTGTCGTTGGTTGAGTATACTAAAAAGTAAAGTATATGTTCTGAACAATAAAATTAAAGGCATGTTTAAAGTCGTTAGTTTCATTATATAGGAAAAATATTACCTGTAATTATATCCAATCTTTCATTATTTCAAACTTTATATTATGTAATCTAATGTGATTTTATATATATTTTATTACGGGTCGTTTTCATCCTTTACATTACCTATATATCAACTAACCTATACTTATAAATTATTGGGCAAATGCTTGGAGAGTCGAGTCCAGCATATTATCATCAAAATATGACACTGACTGCTAAGTAAGTATAAGAAAATAAAAGTTAGGTCTTCGCTACTAGTTATAACTTTTGGTGAGCTATAATTTTTTGCATAGTGGCGAACGTTTGATCCTAGTAATTTGCCTTAGAATAGGTCACGAATTCGGGAGTATTGTTGGCGGAAGCTTGGAGGGATGATTCTGATATCTCACTGCTTATATGTAAGTATAAGGAGACAAAAGTTGTGTCTTCGATATTAGCTATATATAACTTTTGGTGTAGTAAACGTTTAATTTGATCCTTACACAAATTTATTATCAGATGAAATTATAATTTATTAAAAATATTCAACAATTCCTTGTGAATGTGTAACATTTATGGATTAAAGATTCTTTGCCACGCTATGAAAAAGCAAAGTTATGACCTGAAATTTTTTTTAAAAAAGAAAAAATTAAAAAGCACCCACCACTGTAAACACTGAAGCACATCTCCAGGTGTACATTTGCATGCCTTGTAGAGTACGAGTCCTATGATTTACCTTTATAAGGTGAGACAAGGGTTTGGTGTTTGACAATGAAATGTGGGAAAATATTATTATAAATTTAATTAATTAGATTGCAATTGAAGGAGGAAAAAAAAAACAGGAATTCCACTACCAAAAAATGAGTTTTCTCTAAAATGAATTATAGATTTATAGCATGATTGATAGAATGATTGGGGAAATGCATTGAGAAAGACAAGAAAAAAGGCTAGTTTGTAAGCTAAAAAGGATCATTCAAAGTTTGAAATTAAACATTCAAAAAGTAGGGTCCTCTCCCCACTTGTAAAAGAAGAAGATGATGAAGAAAAGGGAAGAGGATTGGCCCTGGCCTGCTGCTGTCATATATCCTTAGTGCATATATATTTCCAACTTCAATTGATTGTGCCTATAGCCTATATATGATGAAATTAAAAATATTAAATTTTTTCATGCATGCATGATTGTAATGATATGGTATCTTGTTGTCCATGCTCGGGCAGGGAAAAAGTTTCTATGTTTGACTCAGTAGATTGGGGTAGTATGTCACCTATTTCTGTCCATTTTCTTAATTGAATGACGATTTGATTTTGTATTTAGTTACTTAATGATATTTCTTGATTTGTTTCACAAAAACAACATGAAATTCTCACTTATGATTGTGTAATTTTTTGTTGAAAAATATACCAAGTCCATATACAAAACTCAAATAGATAACTCAATTCCATGACAAACATAATTTCCTTAAAATATATTTGTTACTACAATTCATGGGTCAATTAGACCCATGAACAAATTGGGCTAGATTCAATCTAACCCACTTTTCATATCAAAATTATATTATGATTGAGTGTATATTTTATATTTGTATTTAGTCCATTGTTAATTGTTGCAATTATTCATAAAGCAACCAAAAATTCATAGCTCAACTCTTTTTTGGGCTACTCACACCCGCTTGCATAATGCCCCTGAGGCCCAAATAATATTGGGCCTTCCGCGATAAATTAAAACATAAACAGTGATCCACCCTTTGGCCCAGCCCACTACTACTACTCGCAAAAAAAATAATCTAATGCAGAGAGAAGGCTTTCACTCTTCCTATTCCCTTTTGAGCTTCAGCTCGATCTCAGGCACGCAAATCTTTGTTTTTCTCGGTTCTAATTTTGAATCCATGAATCCTGCATTATTTTAACTCTAATCAATTCAATAAATTTGCATAATTTTGTTGTAATTACAGGTTGATTTTCTATAATTTCGGGGTTTTTTTTTTTCGTTTATTTCCCCCCTTTTTCTTTTTCAGTTTGAAATGATGTATGTTGCAAAATTTACAGGATTTGGACGAAAGGAAGAAGAAGAAACCTAGAAAATGGATGCAAAATCATTGGCGAAATCGAAAAGAGCTCATTCGTTACATCATAGTAAGAAGAATCAGCAACATCATTCGTCCAAAGGTGCCTCTTCTGTCCCTAGTGCGTCTACTGGTGATAAGAAACAAAGTGGAAAACAAGTTAAGGAAAAACCTGTACAGGGACATGGTTCTAGGGGACTTCCTTCGAATTGGGATCGGTATGTCGAAGAAGGAGAAGAAGAGTATGGGTTTGATTCTGAGAATATGGTTCCTCAAGATAGTGTGTCTAAGGCTGCTACGGATGTTGTTGCACCGAAAAGTAAGGGGGCGGACTATGCTTACTTGATTTCTGAGGCCAAGGCTCAGTCTCTGTATTCGTCGTCACATAGTGTTCCTCTGTTCGATGATGTTCTACATGGTGATTCTCTTAATCTCTGTGGATTTTAGATATTTTAACTTTGTTACTAAGAATTCTGTTTGCTTGGATGAATTGTTGTTTTAAATTGTGGTACTGAAGCTTCTGCATTCCTTGAGGATTGACTAAATTGTTTTTTAGATTTCTATCAGGGGCTTGGTCCATTGCTTTCTGTTAAAGGGCAAAGCATAGCATCGTCGATTAGTGATGACAATTTTGGGTCAGAAGATAAAGGTCCTCCTCCAGATGAGGTAATTTTTTGATTGACAATCTAAGAGCTGGTCTGTGTCTGTCTGTTGTTCTAAGCTGGAATGAATAATTGAACAAAAATTATGACCTTGGACCTTTTCATGTTATTGAAATTGACCTATTTAATTGTTTTGGCAATCTGAAGTCAAATTGCTTTCCTTGTTTCTCTTGATGTCTTCAAAAAGAAATAATTCATTCTAAATCTTGTTTTTTTTCTGGTTAGTTATATTGGTTTGGTGAAGAATCAGCTACAGTTATTTTTGTAAATTTGAAATTTAATTGGAATGTCATATTGATGAAAAGCACGAATATGCAATTATGCATTTCTCTCCCTCATTTTTCTTTGGTAGTAGCCTGATTCCAATACTATCAGGGAACCCAAAAGTTGCATTTCATTAAGTTATAGGCAGGCTTATCACGGTGTCGCCTAGGCAACGCCTAGAGGCGTCCCAGTCGACGCCATGGACTCCAACCCGGTGTCCAAAGCTGTAAAGCCGACTCATTTTTAAATTTTATTAAAAAAAGGAAGAGATATGACCGTTGACAACACTTACGACTTGCGCTGAGAGGAGAGAAGCGAAGAAAAACATATAGTCATACTCCAAACTCCAAAAGAACCAAACTGAAAATGAAAAGGTATTCACGACGCCGCAATACTTCTAGTTCTAGGATTAATGAGGAAGAAGAAAATAAAGAAGACTGATGATGACCAAGCGGGAGAAAAATGAAGATATTGATGATGACAATGAGGGGCAAGGGAATATGAGTGACTTTTTAATGGATATTTATTTATTGTGTGTTATCTAGTTGGTGACTTGATGTATGTTGAATATGTTTATATATATATATATATATATATATATATATATATATATATATATATATATATATATATATATATATATATATATATATAGTATTTTTTTAACTTGTCGCCTAGGCTACAAGGCGGTCGGGGGGGGGGGGGGGGGGGGGCGCCATGATAAGCTTGGTTATAGGATAGTTATGTACAGTTCTCATGTAGCAAAACCTAAGACATGCTAGTAACTTCCTTTCTGCATTTTGACCTTTTTATAAATGTCTTTAAGTAATTTCTTTTGTCCTTGTACGAGTTTCTAGATCTCTTTTGTTTATAGTTCCTTCTGGCTGATGTTGAAGTATTATTAGTTCCTTGGCTGACAATTTATCTTCTTCTTTGCTACATAACTCGGCCAATGGGTACCATAGAAGGTTTCAAAGTTTCATACTGTCATACCTAAGATTAATAGAGTGTAGATTTGTAACTATGTAATTATTATGCAGTGTATTATGCTGCCACTAAAATTCATTTAAAGATCTTCTAGTGGTACTATTATATAGAATAAACAGATTGATGATGCCAAACGACTCTGAGGATTAGTTAATTCATACTATGTGGAGTTAGGGTTTCTTTCATATTTTGGTTATTCTGCTCTTTTAAAAGAGCCCTCGTTGTTCTTGTAAGCCAACAAAGTACAGCCTGTTGTGGCATCAATACCACTTGGATCTCCAAAGGAAGAAGACAGTGGATTATATAATAAAGCGGGCATTAAGAAATGTAAAGGATATAAGTAGTTGCACTTAAGAAGTTAATTATATTCTGTTATATCTGTATCAGGTCGATCAATACTATTTCATATGGAGTATATATTAATTTTGCATTCAATGGAATTTCAGACACTCAAGCATAAATTTAATGAAGAAGCAAGTACTGACAGTCTCATACTGAATGCTGTAATCCTATCTTTGCAGGCCTCTTTTCTCTCTCTCAATTTGCACACTCTTGCAGAACAACTTGCAAAAGCAACTCTATCAGAAAGGCTTTTCATCGAACCTGATTTACTACCTCCAGAACTGGTATGTTTAATGACCTTCCATAATATTTAGAGTAAGCTGTTGTATCGCAGAAACAAACAATGTTAACCAAGGAAATTATACTTGTTATGAAGTGCAAAGGTGACTATTAGTTCTGGTGGTAATTAACAAAAAGCTAATTGAAAAGAATAGCCCCCTAATTTTTTGCATTTCTTTTGATGTATTATGCATATAAGTATTCCATGGCCCCTTATTTTTTAGTCAGATGTTGAGCTCTGAATACTCCCATCTACTAAGTTTATCGCTGTGTTTCTTTGACTACTTGACTAAAATGCACGCTTGGAGTACCAGATAATGCTGTGTAACTTTATTAACATTTGACTGCAAGAATGTTTCCATATTTTCACAATTTATTGTTTATCAAGAAAAATAGTACATGTGAATTAAAAATTGCCTTATCTTTCCCTAGTAGTATTGTGCCAATACTAAGTTGAAAGGTCTCTGGCAATTAGTTTGTGTGTGTGTGTGTCCATTTTAGTGGTTTAACGAATGGTTCAAATCCGCCAAACGCTGGCTAATCTGCTATTTACCAATTACCAAACCACGCTGTTATCTGAAAACATCAGCTTTAAGACTTGAATCCTAGGAATTGTGTTGTTAAGAAGGAAATGGATTTTTACTTTTCAGTAAAAGTACTGGATTACAACCTTACTGGTTATCAGTGTTAATATAATAGCCTGTAATATGGTTTTGCTCTAAAGCTCATTCTTTTTTTCCCTCCTACATATTGTAGTGCACAGAGGAATTGCAAAAGCTTAGTGAGAACGAACAGGCTAAAAATAAGGCTGGAGTGGCTGAGGAAGTTTTTGATTCATCAGCTCATCGCAATGGTTCTGAAGAAAGTGGGAGTATGCATCAGTATCTTAGAAGTCCATATAATACAGCTGGCACCAGCACCAGCAGCAGTACTAGTGCGAGGGATGAGATATTGCAAGCAAAAGGAATAGGACAAACTGATTTGCCAAGGTACACTCCCGAAATCAATGTGAACACTGCTGCTAAGAAACCAGCACAATTCGAGGTAGCCAGTGCAGAGGCAGAGCTTGACATGCTTCTCGGCTCTTTTGCTGAAACAAAGTTTCTCGAGTCCAACAGAGTAACAGAGGAATCATGGGACAATTCTTTTTTGACACAAAATGATGTTTCATCCTCATTTTCAGAAAGGGGTTCATTGAGTCAGAAGGTTCCTACTAGATCAGATGTAACAGACCCAGATCCAGGGTTGGGTGGAACTGCAGCGAGGGATATGAAGCTTGACGATATTGTTGATGATCTACTCAGAGAAACATCCATTCTGACTAACAAAAACGAGGGATCACTGGGTGATGAGGCAAGATCTGCTTTTCGCAATACCCCCTCTTCCTCAAACCCTGTCACCAAGTCTAAACTTACTGATGACTTCGATTCATGGTTTGACACAATATAACCGATCTTCAGCTTCTCTTGTACAAGGCCAGCTGTTTGACACCACATAACTCTTTGAATCCAAAAAGGCGAAAAGCAGGATTGCTAAGTGGTAAGAATCCAAAAAGTCTAGCCTCTATGTTCAGCTGAGTTATCATGATTTACATTCTTCTAGATGTCCTGTTGGTCTGGGGCGTGGGGGGCCTTTGGAGTTGAGGATTCAACCTTTTGGGAACAACAAGAATGCCATCATGGTGAAAATATTTTCGGAAATGGGATGTTAATTTCTTAATTCCTACTTTTCTGCTTGTGAAAAGCTACCATATTTTGTCAGGAATGATTCCATAACTATTTCTTAATTTCTAGCTTTATGCCTTCTAGAATGTGAGGCTGCCAAAACCATTTTAAAGTGGTTAAATCAGTCAACTAAATCTGCGATTCCATGGTATTTGTATGTAACACAAAAATGTTTAGTTAGACGTTAGGACAAAGCCATGGAAGTTTTCTGTACGAAAAGCACATAAATTCTAAGTTATCGTGCCTATGAATAGCTAGGGTTGATTTTGTTACACAATCACACCCAACTTATTTTCTTTTCTTCTATCCCAAAGAACTCTTCTTTAGAAGCTTCTTATTTCATCCCCACATGGTACGTGCATTAAAATTTTTAATACTAAATTTTATGTCATCAAACATGGCTTTTTCTTATTAAAGTCGTGGAGATAATTTATAACACATTAAAGGTTGGAATTTGCTTTATTTATTTATATCACAACTATATCTTAGTCTTAATACAATTTTACAATTTCGTGCTGCACACACCTGTGTAATACATGATACGTCATAAAAAGAAAAAAAAGTTATTTTCCTTCTTCTTTTCATTCACATAACTACTAAATTAGGCATGCTTTCTTGATTAGGCCTTATTTGGTTAATGGTGAATGTTCCATAGTTTGTCGATTTTGTCTGCTTTTAGTGTTTTGACTTGGTCAAAACACTAAAAATAATGTTTGGTAATCAATTCAATGGTTAATTCGTTTCATAATATGACGTTTTAGTCGGATTCCTTGATAAATGCAAAACTTTAACAATAGAAAAAAGAAATCCAAATTCCTTTAAATTGCCCTTCTCTCCGAAGTTAATTTATTAGGATGGCAAGGTTAAAATAGGATTGGGGAAATTGAAAACATGGTAAATTAAGATTTCATAATGTAACAAATTAATTAGCAGAAGATGTACTAGGAATGATTATTGATAGTTGGTTCACAGCCACAAGGCCCCAGCCTGTTTCAGTACAGGAGTCAACTCGCCGGAAATATGCGCCGCCATAATCCGATCCAACCCTCCAAACAACCGGCCACCGATGAACACCGCCGGAAACTGCAACCCCTTCTTCTCCGCCCGGTCACCGGCGCCGCCAATCGACTCCAGCTCCTCGATTACCTCCTTCTCAACCTCCTCGTCAATCTCGCTCACCACAGGGTTGACCCCCAGCACTTGTAGCAACCGCCTCACCACGTGGACCATGCAACACCCCCGCCGCCCGAACACCACCACCGCGCTCTCCGTAACCATGTTCTTCGCCCCGTCTTTCGGTTCCTTAACGCCGTCCACGTACATCGACGATGAAGAACCGGCTTTGTTCATCAGCGGCGCCGAAGATTGATTGCCCACCACAGGCTTGCAGTCTCTTGGCATTGTTAGCCATGTTTTGTACGGAATTGCTTCTTGCATGGCCATCGATGAATCCAATTTTTTCTCTTCTCTTCTCTTTCTTGTAGCTAAGCTAAGTGCAGAAAAAAAAAAAAACCCCAGAAAGAAAGATGGTAGCACTTTGGTTTTCTTAACAACGCTTGTTAGGAAATCCACAGAATGAACGTGTTATTGTATATATATAATCTTGAACTACACCGAATATATATATATATGTATATACAAGATATATATATATACAGATACGATGGAGATCGAAGGGGGTTAGAGGGTAATGTTGAGGTAGAGTTGGACGTCAACGGTAGTACGTTACGTTGCCTCGCGCCGCTACGCGTTAGAAATATATGTGATGGCTTACGTTTGATATATGTCACTTTCTTCTCAATTCCAATCTACTTTTGAACAATATATATTTTAAAATATGTATGATTCTTTAAAATTTTTAATTAGCATTTTATATTAAAAAAAAAAAACAGAATTTCACCTTTATTCCATGAATTAGAGGGTAATTGTACATTTAATTCATCTATTATAAGCGTCACCTTTTTTAATTTAATCCGTTCTTATGTTGTTAAAATACTTTATTTTGATCATAAGTGAATACTTTACCGTATAGTAACATACTTAATAATATTCAAAAAAATAAATACTTTACGGTAAAATTTGTAATACCTTTTAATAACTAAAATAGTTTACAAAATATTTATACTTGAATAATGCAATTATAATATTTTATAATTATTACGGAGTATATTAATAAATAGTCAAACAGATATTCAAATATTTAAATTATCCTCGAGGAGATCAATCTTGTAAGTTACAAACCGACAAAAACTTATTAGCATATATTTGCTTATTTTAATAGAGTTTGAAAATTTTTTAACATTGAAATTTGGTTATTGAGGTTGCGGCTTACAATGAAATGTGCTGCTCACCGTTTTGTAATTACGATAAGTACTTGAGTAGGCTGAACAAGCAACTACTATAATAATATAAATAAGTGTATATTTTCAAATAATGACAATTGATTTTTTTTTCATGATCTAAAATAAATAAATAAATGATGTTTAAGTTGAGGAAAAAGATACTTTAATAAACGATTTATTATAATTTTGTTGGAAGCCCATGCTTTGCATGCATAATTCTTGAAGTCATCCATTAGTATCTGTAATTTACAAGTCCAATATGGTATGTGGATTTAGAATTAATTTTTTAAATAATTAATTTATTGTCTAGTACGTACAGTTCTCAACTACAAAATTCTTACCTATTTTACTTCTTCTCCTCTTCTCCTCTTTCTTTGGCAACCTAACTTTCAAACTATTGATTTTTTTTTTTTAAATCAAATATTTCATGACAACTTTAAATTTGAAAAAAAAAAAAAAAAATGATCCTATGAAAGGTGGATTTGATTATCTCTTTCATCAAGATCTATACTAAAGGGATAAATATTCTTAGGGGTAATTCTAACCGACTTGGTCGTGCAATTACCTTTGTAATCACAAAATTTCAAGTTTAACTTCATTTTGGAATATTATTTGTCTTATTAGTTTGGGCATACCACTATAAGCAACTTAGGTTGATTTATATTATTGTGATCATTTGTGGCTGTGGTCACGAGGCAAACTTCAACCAAAACACACATTCAGTTAGTGACTGTAAATTTTCTCGTAAATAAAAAATAAATCATCCTTCAATAATGTTGTCGTAATAGTCATTAATTGCTGCTTTAAGAAAAAGTAATATTTCGAAGCTAAGAGAAAGCATGAAAATTATTCATCTAATCTCAAATGGATGATTTTTTAATAGAATTATTAACAAAATGACTAAAATAAGTATGAAATTTATAACTAAAACTTTGGTTACACAAAATTAGAAATTGAGAACTAAAATAATAAAATTAAGGGATTATTTGGAAAGTTAAGTCTAAAGTTTAGAAATGATATTTGGTCATGGTTGGAAGTTTGGAAGTTGGAAGGATTGGATAACGGAGTGAGATGAAGTAAAGAGTAAAGAGGTAGAGAGAAAAGTGAAAATGGTGGGGATGACGGTGACGGTGACGGAGCGGGATCGAGATGAGAACGTCAGCAAGACGACAAGTGGGATGGCATAGCGGACGTAATCTGCGGTCGATCTGACCTCAAGAACGGGCCCCACAACGTGGCATTGACAACGTCGGTCCAAGCCCACAAACGTGGGCTGTTCTCCTTTACATGTACCACGTACCCACTGACATTGCATCCGCTAAACAACAACCACCCTCTCGTACATCAATACCTATTATATCATGAAAGATAGATTCGGGTTAAAATACACAATTTATATATTAAATGTTCATAATTGACATACTGAATGTTCACAATTTAAATTGTAAACATTCAATATGTAAATTGTGAATATTTATTATTTAAATTATAAATAATCAATATATAAATTGTGTATTTTTAGACTTGAGTTCACCTTACAAGATGGATCGGATATACAGAATAATTTGCCCACGTCCATACTATATACGTATGTAATAATTTCTCATTCGGTGCACCTATACTTCATTTTCATATTTTACTTTTAAAAAAAAGGTACAATATTACGTAATGATGATGTATTTTTTGGAATAATTGATTTTGATGAATCTCACGCAATAAAACGTCAATAATGATTAAAAAATAATCAAATTATAAAATATTTTTTACTAAATATATAATTAAATATATCGTCTGATGCCATATCGGTTTGTATTATGTCTTATCACTTTTAAAGCGTTAGGCCATGTCGCAACGGACAAAAAGATTGAACAAATTTTGCTGTGGACCAAATGGGATCATAAATAAACCACGGATATATATATATTTTAAAAGGTACTGGCTCCACTAAGGCTCAAACTCACAATCTTCCAAATAAAAGTTCAACCCGGATTCCATTAGACCACATAGTTCTAATCCCACAAATATATATATAAATGTTCCCCTATTAAATTTTGACGGTGATGTGTACCGATTCTATACTGTTGGCTACGTAGAAATGTATCCGCCAGACAATAAAGATGAAGCCCACTGGAAATACTATCAATCGTTATATCGTGCATCAGTGCGCACAATGTATTATGCGTCCTGGTCTAAAACGATGATGTTTTTATAAGTTAGTGGGGAGTTGACGCAATAGTGTCTGCCGTCCGTCTAATCCCGTTACATTTTTTTAACACTTGTATTTATATGTATTATGTTAAGAGTTTATGTATATTATGTATTGTGTTAGAAATTTATGTGTATTTTACTATACAATTCTGTACAACAAAATAATGATTTTTTTTTTTTAGAAATTAACAGCAGAAACGGGAAATAGAATTTCCAAAAAAAAAAAAAAAAAAAACCATTCAGGACGCACAATCCCTGGTGCACGATATAATTTGCCAAATACCATGCAAACGGAAAATTATTCTGTGGATCCGGGTCCAGAGATACATAATTTACATATTAAATATTCACAATTAACTTTTAAAAATTTACAATTTGTGATGATTTTGTATTGTATTCACAAATTTTTAAAATTTTAAAAAATAATTTATATTCTAAAAGTTCACAATTCTAACAATAAAAATACACAATTTAAAACCATAATCCATCTTGCAAGGTGGACCATAGTGCATGGTATAACAAGTGCATGCAACTTCTAAAAGTTCACATGAAAATTCATTCTCATCTCCAATTTAAGTTTTATAAATAAGTAGCAAATGTAAAAAAAAAACCATTTATTATTATTATTATTATTATTATTATTATTATTATTATTATTATTATTATTATTATTATTATTATTATTATTATTATTATGAAAAATGGTCAAATAGGTCCTCGAACTTTAGCTTAAAAGTCAATTAAGCTTCTAAACTTTTAAAGGTGCAATTACACCCATCAACAATTCATTTAGGTGCAATGAAGCCCAAAAATAAATTAATGACCTGCTATCACAGGTCATTAGGGTTCAGGCCACCTTCCGGCGAATTTTCCGATAAAAAAAAAAAAAAGTGACCGGCGAAATTTTCGACAAGAGAAGTGACTGGCGAAATTTTTGACAAATCTGGGTCGGTTGCTGGTCATTTTTTTTTTTTGTTTATTTATTTTTTTTTTATTTATCGAAAAATTCGCCCGAAGATGACCTGAACCCTAATGACCTGTGATAGCAGGTCATTAACTTGTTTTTTGGCTTCATTGCACCTAAATGAATTGTTGATGGGTGTAATTGAACCTTTAAAAAGTTTAGGAGCTTAATTAACTTTTAAGCTAAAATTCGAAGGCCTATTTAACCCTTTTTCATTATTATTATTATTATTATTATTATTATTATTATTATTATTATTAAAAAATGTGATTTTAGTCGCTCAATAATTTTCTACTAGTCGTTTTAGTTGTTAATTCTTAATATATTAATATATTCCTTAATTTTTTTTAATAAGTTATATATAGTTTTAGTTCTTAAAGTAACAGAGCTATTAAACTATGCTCTATTAGGATATTACTTAATATACAAGTATTTAGTAATTTATTATATTTGTTCTTTATAGCCATCTCTTGTCTCAGTATTTCATATGTAAAATAGTAGTGAATTTAATTTTAGCAAGCATGTGCAAGGGAAAAATAGGGATGGTGCACCTTACCGCAATTGAAGAGGAAAGATTTTAGAATAGGAAATAGTCAATTCTTTATTTTGTAGATAAAATATCAAAAATCGGAGTGGTTATAAAAAAGGAAAAATAAAAAATTACTAAGACACACATTTACTAAATAAAACATTAAGGTTATTATTATTATTATTATTTTTTTTGGAAAAAATATTAACTAGTTTATTGACTGTGTTGTTCTCGAAATTAAAAAATGCAACTCACTTGAAAAGTTATGGGTATATTGTAGGATAAAATGTTAGGGACTAAAATAATTAGTAAAGAATAATGAGCAACTAAAAATGTAAGTATAATAATAATTATAATAATAATTATTAGTATTATTTGTGTATGCATGTATATAGGCTATTTCTAATATGCTATCATACTCTGTTAAATAAAATATAATGATGTGTAGATAGAATATATTGAAAATGAAAAGCTGTTAAGACAAAATATCTTTTATCTTATGTAGTGCATTACGTAAGAGGCGAAGAAAACTAAGGTTACCAAAGTCTTGGTAACGGTTTGGAAAAAAATAGCTACTCCATTCTTGTTGTCGGTCGTCAATTCATTTCACGTTGCCTGCGCCATCTAATCCATCTTTTCGACGTTTTCTTTGACTTGCTTAAATTAATTATTAATTATATATATGATAATAAAAAAATGTCCAGTTGTCAACAAATGTATTGAATATTGAATAGTACAATTAAATGAATTAATGCTGTCAAAACAAGCTAAACAAATTGATGACTGATCACAGCCACCCATAATGTTTCATCAATGATTGAAGATTTTAGTAAAAAAAATACATAGTCAATTTTATAATTATTGAAACTTTTAACTTTTATGTTCATCAAATTATTACTGACGAGGCGTTCATCCTATTAAAAAATATTATTTTTGAATTTATTAATAGTAGTCTTTTACCTTTTAGGGTCATCGTTGACGTGGCCCTAAAATGAGTAATTGAATATTATATTCACTATTTAATTGTATGTGCATTGAGTAAATCTTATCTTGTGACACCACAAAGTAAATTAATTTAGATTGCCTATAACTGATCGAATCAAACCATGAAAACTAATTAATCGCTCTTATTATGAGTCGAATTTGTAACAAGCATAATCAACTTTGTTGACCAACTTTATTATATTATGATATACAAGACATGATTCGGGCCGGTTTTGATAAACTTCACAGCCCATATGTTGAATCAATTTCATCACAACGTAACTCTAGGATTGGGCTGGATAAAGGTGTCTAAGAACATCAAATATGACAAGGAATACATATATGCATCATATTGACTAACACATCCAACTCTATGCACTTTCATGTCTTCATACTCCCGGAGTATCAAAGAAACAAATTTGATTTTTTCTACTAATCACTCTGAAAATCCAACTTTCTAAACACACTCCATATGTCAAGCATTTAGTTTATTCCTTAACTTCATCTTGAGTTTGTTAATTAGAATATAACACAATTTCAATAACTAAATGTTAATCTGCTAGACATATATTGTACAGACTGAAACACATAATAATATTGTACCACATCATAGTGGAAGTAATAAAAAATCTATATACCTCCAAACATAGTCGATTAATGAATTGTCTGCACTCTTATGCAATTAGATGGTATATATATATATATATATATATATATATATATATATATATATATATATATATATATATATATATATATATATATATATATATTATTTTTTTTGAAATAAAAGAAATTGATGGTTATACTTAAATATCATGGGCTATGTTTGGCACGCGCATAGCTGAAAAGCTACTTGAAAGTTGAAAGTCGAAAAGCTAGTAGCTAATAATATAACTAATTGAAATTAAAGTGATTGGCAAAATTAACTGTTGAATTAGTTGATAATTAAGTGTAAAAAGACATAAAAGAATAAACTAAGATCGATATTATGATTTTGGTTAATAAATGGTAGATGGTGTCATTTTTGTAAATTAATAAAGATAAAAAAAAGTTAAAAGTTAAAAAATCATAAGCTTATTTTTAAACACTACTTAAGGTAGCGTTTCAAAATAAACTATTATTTTAAACTCCTCATATTTTACTAAACATAATTTATAACTTATTTAGAACTTAAAATAAGCTATAAGTTCTAAAATAAATTTGACCAAATTGGGCCATCAATTAGTGACCAAAACACATAATTACTTTAATGGAAAATGTTAAAATTAGTTACCCAAAAGTGTGCACTGGATAACCCTACCTAACCGGTTCAAACCAAGAGTCAAACTTGAAACCTTATGGTTACCAAGTTAATAACTTGACCAATTTGACTAAGAGTTTTTTATTTTTATTTTTTATTTTTTATTCTTTGACTTTACAATTTGTTTGGATATTATGGTGCTTTAATTTACAAAATTCTAGAATAATTAAAATAAGTTGGGGTTTTAATTTGTTACACTCCTACCAGGACTATGTGGTCTAATGGTACCCGAGTTGGACTTCCATTTGGAAGATTATGAGTTCAAGCCTTAGTGAAGGTGTTATTGGTTTTTTTTTATTTCAGTAGGTTGAGAAAGTATATGAACAGATACTACAATGTAATAGAGCCAGTAGCATTCAAAAAAAAAAATTGTATTTTCTCTATTTACAATTATGTAACAGAGGATAAAAATTAAATTACTACACAAAACTCATATATATTTCTATTGGTCCAAAGAGAAACTTTGTTTATGCAACATACAAATACAGCACGGCATATACCTACTGAAAATGAAATAATCCTATACCTCTCGAATAAAGTCTTATACATTGTTCCCAAAAGGTTAAATACCCAATCCTAACGGCCTCCCATGTCTGGACCGACAGAGCATCTGGGAAGATGTAAATCATGGTAACTCAGCTGAACACAGAGGCTAGACATTTATTTATTACGCACAAGGAGCCCCCTCACTTTGAGAGGTTGCTCCTGCACTGTCGCTTGTGAGACTCGATCGATCCCGAATCATTGTTCCCAAACTTCACCCCGTGACAACTGAGCTGCCCATGCGGACAATAAAGTCTTATACCTTTAGTAGCATTGCACGACAAGTCACACTTGGCAGGAAGCACATCGTCATCTATGTGGAAATCATATTTCCCAAAATGTAAAACTAAACTTGGGGATCTGACTTTAACCTCAGCTTATTGTGTATGTAAGTTGAATTGTGTTGGATACTTAACAAATTAATGCGGCATTTGTAACACCAAACTGTGACTTTTACCACTTCAATTTTACACGGCTGCACAACATTTAATTTCTTTTCCATGTGTAGTTCAGTTGTTGAATGCTTGCATTGCATCACATTTATAGACAGGTTGAATTTCACTTTGTCGAATCCAATGGTTTGTTAGATCTAACGTACGTAACAGTACACAATGTTTGTCAATGTATGAGAGCAAATGATAATGATATTTGCAATAAGATATTCATGTGGTTTCGTATGATTAACTTGTAATAGGTTGGAACTAATTTATATATGCAACCAATGGATCGGATATGAAAGATTGTAACACTCGATATTAGGTGGCCGGAGTTTAGGTCCTAATTCGATAGGTCAAGTTCACCAAAGAAAAAAAATAAAAAGAAGAAAAGAATTGATAGTTTAGGTTTGGTTTAGGGTTAGAATTTTAATTTTCTTTTTAGAATTTTAGGGGAAAACTATACTTATGATCCTGAGTTATAGGGTAATAGCGGTTTTAGTCCTTGTGTTTTATGCATCATCATTTTTAGTTTGAGTTGTTTGTGAAGTGGTGTTTTTGGCCACCTTGTTAAAATCTACCATTGCTTTCTGCGTTTCTAGTCATTAAATTATGGAATTCAATTGCGATTTGAATGAAAAATAATATATAATAAAGTGAAATTCTATTAGTAGCTCCGATCAATTAGAGTTTTCGTAGAGTAATGGTAAATTATGATAGATCCATTATTAGAGGAATTAAAAGTGCTACTTCGTCAATAATTCATAAATTAAAAGTAGCGATAATTATAATATATGAATTGAGTTCACTATTACCTTAACTTAAAACTAAAAGTATAATTTAAAAAAAAATAATTATTTGTGATATGTTATCTAAGTTACAAATTCACAACCTTGCTTGCTACCCATCTTTTAAATAATTTTAATTTTAATTCAACATTATTTGAAAAATTTATAAGTTTTGTTTGATAATCAAACCAAAAATTTAAAAGTTATATATAAGAAAAAAATTGAATAATTTCTTATCTATACTTGTAAAATGATATTCCATCCTACTTTAGTTTTTAGTTCATTGTTCATCCCAAAATAATATTCATTTTTCTATTTAAATACCATCAACTTTTAATTTAATTTTCCATTTTATCCTTATTATTATGTTTTAAAATTTTAATTTGTTGATTTGACTAGATAAGTCCATCTGAAAGTGCATACACTCATGAGGCCGGGAGGGAGATGATTCTATAAACAAAAGATGAAATATAGTGCGCTGTATGATAATTAATTACACTTATTAGATAACAACAACAACAATTAAGGTACAGTAGTGTAATATATATAATACATAGATTACATATGCATAACAGACGGAAAGCAAATTAAATAAACAAACAATATAATAGTAATATATATGCATAGCATGAACTTATATACATACCATGCATGCATGCTTTATATATATATATAATATCTGTAAATTGAAAAGATGTTTAAATCTGAACTCTTCTCGAAGTTAAAATACTCCCATGCAGAACAGCACAACGGCTGCCGGAGCCAATCCCAACCCAAACTGGCTCATCCTTCCGGCGCTATTGGGCTCACCATTCGCGGCCGGCGAGGGTTCATCGGCGGGAGAGTGTTCTTTTGAATTCTTTGGAGCGGCCGCCGCCGTTTTGTTGGGCCTGCCTTTATTGCCGAGGGTGGGACGAGCTTTTGATGTGAATTCCAATGGCAGCAAGACCTTATCGATTTGGTAAACGGCCAAAGGGAAGTTTTTTCGCATGATATTGGACACCTGGGTTTGCACCACCCCAGAAGTGACGTTGACTTGGCCGTTACTTCCCGTGAAGTTGAGGACAAACTCCCCGCCGGCGAGGGTCTCCACGGGGTTGCTGGCGGTTTCGAGGTCGTCCAAGGAATAGAACTTGGGGAGGATGTGGAACTGGATGAGGCGGACTTTCTGTTGGTCGGAGAGTTTGTTGAGAGTGCCGGAGGGGAGGCTGGTAAAGGCGCTGTCGGGGGCGGCGAGTACGGAGACGCCGTCGGTGGAGGTGATGATTTGGGTGTCGATCTGTTTGCCCAGATGGTTGGCTGTGTCGAGAAACTTGACGAAGATGTTGAACTGCTTACCCGTTTTAAGAATGTCGATGATGTCGACTGGCCATGTCGTAGACGACGACGGTGGTGGCGCAGTGGTGGCGGGTTGGGTATGAATTTGGTGAGGGAAAAGGAGGAAGATGAGGATTAATGGGACACTCAAATGCAGAAGAGTAGAGATAAAAATTGCTCTAGTTTGAGCCATTGGATAGGAGCTGAGGAGTGAGAAGAGAATAATATGATATATTATATGATATTGGGAGTGAGCTAGAGAATGTGATTTTAGTATAGAATGCATTGGCTATGATGAGGATAAATTGCATTTATAAATATCACAAACCATTTCTTACGTAGGGGTTATGCATTCACCCCCTCCCCCCGCCTTATTTTTTTTCCTAAGTTAACTTGTAGAAATGAAAGGTTATGTACAGTCAATAGTGCAACATAATTTTGTCAAGTTGGTCAAATAATTGACTTAATAACTAATTTTAAATTTAATTTTTATGAGAGTCAATCTTTTGCTTTGAGATGATCAACTATAAACAATCTAACTAGAATGACCATAAGATCATTAAAATGCATGTATTGTTGATTTTAGAGCAATGATAATATATGTTTGTCGTTATGTATATTAAGTACCTATTACAATTAACAATTTATTTATCTAAAATTGTTGATTTTCAATTCGCTTAGCTTGATGGCAATTTATATCCTACACCACGGCGCGCGTTGCACGGTGCGCCCAGATGCAAAACGACGTCGTTTTAATTTTATTTTTTTTTTGAAATTTCCCGCCTCAGTGAATGGCAGTAATTTTTTCTTTAAAAAAAACCCGCTGTTCAAAAATGTACATAATGCTATACTAGAATACACATAATTGTATACATGAATGTACATAATTATATAACAAAATATATATACTCTTTTTAAAAGATAATACACATAATCTAACATAATACATAATAAACATAAACTTTTAACATAATACACATCAACTCTTAACATAATACACACAAATTTTCTGATTCGGATGTACATAATTGTATAAAAAGAATGTACATAATTGTATAAAAAATGTACATAACTGTATGAACAAATACACATAATTGTATGAACAAATACACATAATCACAGCAACTTCCTACCGCGCCTCCCAAAACGACGTCGTTTTGGGAGGCGCGCGGCGCACAGTGCTACGCGCGCCGTGGTGTAGGGTATAACGATTGTAGCTTGATCGAGGTGCTTAATAACAAACTAAAATCAAAATGTGGTGATCGATCTGATGTTGAATTCCCATATTTGGTAGATCCATATATATATTTATAGACTGAAGAATCCTTTATTATTTTAAGTGTCGCAATGTATCAATGGGCTTAAAGGTCATCAAGTGTCAAAACAGGACAGTTGGCTAGATATGTAACTTCCACCTTATGGATCACTGCTCTCCCTCTCTATATATGTCATGTAAGCTTAATATGGTTGTCAAAATTGGAAGCTAAATGACGTATATGATCCTCGTTTATACCCTATTGATGATTTATCACTTTCTCGATCAGTTATGGCTGTATTCATTTTTACTTTTTAGTTATGAGCGAAATGACACGTTCTTCTACGACGTTAGGTTTTCGTTTCAATCTAACAAAAAATTTAAAAAACTTCTATTATTAGATAGGTGAAATATGAAATTCACATCTTACTTTCCTTCTTATATTGAAATCATTTTCACACTGTTATTTTTTACTTCACAGCCTCCAAGGTTTTTCAACTTGAAAAGCATTTCAATAACTCCATATGACTTGTTAGGAACCTAAGTATCATATAAAGAATTTGTTGGTCCCGATAGAGTAGTGAGAGTCTAGAGGGGGGGGGGGGGGGGTGAATAGACTCTTTTCGTGTTTTACCCCAAAACCACCTTTCGGTGTTTTAGCGCAGCGGATATTTCAGATTTGATTATTTGCTTTGCACGAGTTTATGTTGAGAAGAGAACTTTCGGTAATGATGATAAAGTGAATATGATGCAGAAATGAAATGCGTAAGTAAAGAGATAAGGAGACAAGAGTTTTTATAGTGGTTCGGCCAACGTTGCCTACTTCACTCTTCTTCCACAACTTGTGGAAGGATTGCATTATCACTCGTTAGTACAATTACACAAAGACTTCCTTGATCACTAAGCCGGACAGCCTTCGTAGGTTTTTCAACTCCTCGAGTTTACTCCGCCTCTATCAACTTCTTCTTCAGAGTTGAGGTTGGTAGAAAGAGATTTCTGATTTCTCCAACGTGATGAAGTCTTGACTGTGAAGGATGATTGCTTCGTACAAATGGCAAGACTTCTTCAAGGTGTAAGATGATGATCAATGGATCGACTTTTTCAAATGTCTTAACACCTTGATACTGGTTCACAAAAGCTTGGGAGAGTTGGGAGCGTTTAAGAGCTTTTGCAAGTAATAGATCGAGTGAAAGTTGAACCAGCACCTTCTTAGTTGATGAAGGTGGGTTTATATAGGTGATGAAAATTCATCCGTTGGAGGGAGATGAAATTTTCGAACCTTTTAACCATTGGATAAGGACCGGGGAGCTTCATGCATTAAATGCTCCATTAATGAGGTTGTACCATGTAGCCGTTGAAGGTATGGGAGGCATTAGGGTTTTGTCTTTTAGCTCCATGAGATGGTACCTCTTCATTTAATGCTCCTTGGTAATCGTGTCCCCATGAGATCCTTATTTTCCTAGGAAGTTGTCAAATCAGACAGATGAAACATTCTTCTCGTTGTTGAGGAGAAAGAATACTTAGAACGAATCGTCTTTAATAAATCTGTCCTTTCGAGGTAGTTGACAACTCCTTATAAATTCTTGTTGCTGAACATCTTGTCTCGTGTCTTCTTTCGTCTTGTAGACCCTATCAACTAGACATAACTCATTTTCGTGTGTTTGTCTAGCTTAACACGAATTACATGAGAGTTATGGCAACTCTCGTCTAAGACGAAAGTAGCGATCGAAAAAGCTAATAGTTAGGGGTCTACTTTCTACATTACATTGATATCATCAAAATCCTAATACAGTGTTCCTAACAGAATTTGAAACTCATTACACACAATGAAACACTAAATCACTGTCTTCAAAAGTGTAAAACTATCCTAAAAGTTTCTAATTCCCTTACTAAGCAACAATGGTAATCAAATCATAACTTTAATTTTGAGATACAAGATGTCAAACTTCTCAGGTTGCTTTTATGATAAATTCACCAAGAGAGTAACTTGAGATTTTTCGCATATACAAATTATTTCATAAATTCTGCAGTAGCTTATTCAAGAATCGTATATCTTGGAAACATGAAAATTCTATTATATACATACATCATCAGACATCCCCTCTACTATGCTCTTAAAAATAAAAGTAATGAAGGAAGAACCTATGTCTCGTATAAAGAACCTGAGACTCAATTATGAAAGTTACAAAAGTTTTTAGAATTCTCATACCTGAGTTTGATTACATTGGTTTTTAAGAGGACAAAGGAAATTGTTACTGTTTTAATTTGCTCAAAAAACCCCAACATATAATTGGCAATATTATTATGGAAAACTAAGATAGGGTTAGCTTGGTGTCGGCTTGTTCTACAGAAGACTGATTGATCAGATACAGCAACAGAGGGACTGACACTGAAGATCTGTTTTAAGAAGATGTTTCCGTTTTACAAAACGCGGTTTAAGAAGTTAGTTTTTGGAAAGAAGATCAGCGTATCTGTCTTGGAAAGGTATAGACCGGATCTTTAAGATTACATTCTTCTTATATTGTTCTACCATCTACAATAGGAGATATCTATGGAGAGTGTTCTTATTATGGAACTATAAGTACTCTTATTCGATCAAGAATTAGGGTTACGCTTTTGAGAAGAAAGAAACACTCCGACGCATACTAAGAGACCATATCTTTGATTATCATGCCTCTTCTCAAGACAATTTGTTCTTGTTGTTTATGATGAAGAACTTGAGAAGAGATATCGTTGCTTAAACGAAAAGGACGCTAAGATCACACGGTTGTGGGAACAACATTGAACAGCGTCATTGAAGTGGACTGCATCAGAGTTAGCTCTCCAAGTGAAGGGATTTCATTGGACTTCTGTATGCACGGCTCTCCATCTTCAACAATCCACTAAATCAGTGCAGACTGGGTACGTACCTTGTGTGGGGCACTTGGGTGAGATTACTGTTCTCTACCTTTGTACATTGGATGATTTGTTAGTGGATTGGACGCCTATGTGATCGTCTCCCAGATGTAAATACACATTGTATCGAACTGGGTAAACATCTTGTGTGTTGTTCTTTTCGCTGTCTGTCTTAGTTTATTCTTTCCGCAAGCTAATTAGTGTTCCACCTATCTGACTGATATCATCGTTGAATCTGTCAGACTATTTCGTCAATCATTTAATTAATATCATTAAATTGGGAGAATGCAAAATTACAGAAATGATGTTTGATTATGGATGTATATAATATAATTTTCATATGTTGCTAGGATACGATTCTTGACTAAGCTACTGGAGAGTTATATGAAAGAATTTTTACATACTAAAAATCTCAAGTTATTTCTTTGGTGAATTTCTCATAAAACCAACATGAAAATTTGACATCTTCTTGATTCTCAAAAGTTCTGGTTTGATTACCCTTTTTGCTTAGTAAGGGAAATCAGAAACTTTTATGATAATGTGTTTTGCACGCCCGAAGAAGGTGATCAAGTGTTTCCTTGTTTGTATTGAGTCTCAAGTTCCATATACGAGACCCATGTTCCTAACAAGTCATACGGGGGTTATTGAAATCTTTTTGGAGTTGAAGAGCCTTGAAATAGGAAGTTAGGGGTGGAAAATATGAATTTCTCACTTTACTCATCTAATAATATTGGATTTTTAGGTTTTTTGTCAAGTTGGAACGGAAATCTAACGTTAGGACCAAATTCGTCACTTCGTTCATAACTAAAGGATAAAAAATAAAAATGATCATAATTAAGGGACTGAGTTAAAATTTGGGTATAACTCAAAGACGAAATTAAAGATACAATTTCGTATTTAATAATTAAAAGATGAAGCATGTGGAAGTTGTAACTCATAATACAACACATTCTTATCCTCAACAAAGAGATGTTATCCCTTCAATTCTATGGCTCTATCCAATTAAGAATTCATCACTGGATATCACTTTAGTACGTGTAAATCGAGATGTTATTTCGTCCAATAAATGGACTATAGACATAAAAATATCTAATTTTCCCCAAATTTATAACTTCATC